AGGGAAGACAACTTTTGTCAAAAGGCATCTCACTGGTGAATTCGAGAAAAAATATGAACGTAAGTTTTTGATTTGTTGTACTGACAGAAGTGTTTAGATAATCTGGGTCATTATCCTTTTCTATAGGCTTGCGCTGTTTCTCATTATGTTGGTTTCTCGTGAGTGAATTATTTATTAAGTTTTTTTTTCATACAGCCACTATTGGTGTGGAGGTGCATCCACTAGACTTCTTCACAAATTGTGGGAAAATTCGCTTTTATTGCTGGGATACAGCCGGACAAGAGAAGTTTGGAGGTCTCAGAGATGGTTACTAGTAAGTGATTCTAGGCAGTTAAAACCTTTAGTTTCTGCAAGGCTCTGCTGCTCGATGGATGTTATTTCTGATTAAAACTTTTACTATCAAATCCTTGAGTGTTAAATGGGTAAAGTTTCATGTTTCCCAAAAGATGAAATATTGGTATTAAGGAATGCTGGATTGTTTGTGAAAAATCATTGATAACTTGTGGTGTTCTACATCAAATGCCATTATAGGTATTTCTACAATGTGGTTATCATATCTGAGGTGACAGTAATTGTGCTCACATCCGCGTCTCTTTTGAGCTCAGAATACCATATTTACCCTGCTATTCCTTTTTTTACATCAAACACTTGTTACTTGTATGACTGCCTTGACATTAATTGTCTTGCTTGAAGCTTTTGGTGACTGTATTTTGGCTTCTCATATTTCTCCATGTCAATTGTGCAGCATTCATGGGCAATGTGCAATTATCATGTTCGATGTTACAGCCCGGCTGACCTACAAGAATGTTCCTACTTGGCATAGAGATCTTTGCAGGTGAGGAACTCTTCATAGGCTGCCAGCATTATACTCTTTACTTATAATTGATGATATGCAATGGAAATCTGAAATGCTATTCAATTACTTTTTCCAGGGTTTGTGAAAACATCCCCATTGTTCTCTGTGGAAACAAAGTTGATGTGAAGAACAGGCAGGTTAAGGCAAAGCAAGTTACCTTCCACAGGAAGAAAAATTTGCAATACTATGAGATCTCGGCAAAGAGTAACTACAACTTTGAGAAGCCTTTTCTGTACCTTGCTAGAAAGCTTGCTGGGTAATTAATGGTCATAAATATAAATTTATTTCATGTCTGCTCTTGTCATATATACTTTTGATGTATTGAACCTAATTTCTTGTCCTACTTGTAGGGATGGTAATCTTCACTTTGTGGAATCACCTGCACTTGCTCCCCCAGAAGTACAAATTGACTTAGCTGCACAGGCACTGTAAGAGCTCTGTTTACTTTTGGTGCTTCATTATTTTTTGTTTCTGCTAATATCTAAGTTTTATATGAGTATTCCATAGAATTAAGAACTGTCAGCAAATCTGTGATAATATCAGATATTCACTTCTTTATATGTATATCAAAGTTAGCCAATGCTCATTGGATCTTAATATGTAACGATTTTGACCATGAGCAACCCTTGCATCTTAAAGAATACTAATAAGTATTAGGTTCCTGCTTGGTTATGTGATGAGCTAGGCTCCTTGTGCTTAACATTTTGTTTTCTTGTACGATTTTTAATTTTGACTACTCTGTTTATTCAGGCATGAACAGGAGCTTCAACAAGCCCTTAATCAGCCACTTCCAGATGACGATGATGAAGCATTTGAATAGATGGCATAGCTCAGAGCAGATCAGTTTCACCGTTGCACCTTCCCAAATTCCTAGTCCTTAATTTTTCTGTATTTGGACTTTGTCTTTGTTATTTATTTGAGGATCTATTTGTTGCTTCCTTGTATTATTGATTGGTTATTAGATATGTTTGTCTGCGGCCACGAGGCTTTGTTTTGTTAGGTTAGTTATGCCGACCTTGATGTAAGGGGCACATTATCGAGGCTCTGTTTTGAGCTTGTTATAATATTACTTGGTCACATATCCGACAATTTTTTGACTGAAGATACTTAAATGTCAACTGTTTGTGAATAGTGATGGTAACTAATTTTCATCTGTTTAAGGGTGGAAGTTCATTTAAGAAAGTTTTTAACTTTGGAGACAATATATGAATACATTGTTCATGATATTTTACCATAATAGAGGGAGTAATAGTTTACTTGCTTTTGATTGTCTAAACGAAAGTTTGTTGATTAGATTTCGATTCACATCTAGTAATCTCTTTCTCCAACCTCCAATTATGTAAAATATAGTAATAATAATATTATTTTTTTAAAAAAATAAGGTCAAACTACAACTTACGAAGTTTGACTATGGAGTAAAAAAAAGAAATTCGGTGATATGAGAGTCACACAAGAACTTAACTTTTTAATTTATTTTTTCAACATTTAATTTCAATTCTTGCTTCGCCGCTGATTGTAATTTATTTAAATTGTATCCGTTTAAAAAAACAATATTTCAAAGGGCTCTGGAACGACAAAGATTACTAGTTTTCTGTTTTCTCACCTTACAGTATCAAGCATTTTAAACTAGTTCTCTAAATTTTTTTAAAAGTTCGACTGAAAAGAAGATCTAATCTAGTCCATATAAAAATAAAATGCTTAATGCATACTCAGCTCCTTAACTAAATAGACAATTTCAATTCAAGTTTTTAAGAAAAAATTGCAATTTTTTTCATTTGTATATTAGATAGTTAAGTTAACTAAATAAAATATGTCATCTTTTATCTTTAGTGGACACACTCATCTTAATCAATCATAATTCAAGTGTATAAATAGAATATCCCGTTAAATTTAAGGAATTGATCACGTATTATTAGGTCAAAATAAAATAAAGTTTGTTATATATTTCAGTCAAAGTTTACTTAAACGGTCAAAATTGGTGGAATGAAAAAATAACAATATCCTGTATCCCACTTGTCCACTACGGCACTAATAAAAGTGACTACCAATATATAAATGAGCTTTCCATTGAAGGCTTATATCTTCATACTATAACACTAAAAAGCATAGAGAGATTAATAAGAAAACAATGGAAAACAAGAAAATGAATTCAGTGGCAGCTATGGCTATGGTGTTTATCATCCTTTTATCGGCCAACACCGACACCGTCGGCGTCGCAGCTCAGGGCGTCAATTGCTGGGACAATTGCAATACTGCTTGTGTTGGTCTCCCACGTATGTCATCATTTCGATCTCCCCTTTCCTATTTATTCTTTTTTCTTTTATAATCGTAGCATTCAGTTCAGCTTTATGTAGTATTTTAGCGGTAATAATTTGTTATTTTTTCAGCGAGAGAGTACGCTCGTTGTGATGGGAAGTGCAACATTAGGTGCGGACCAGGTAATTAAGTTTCCTTTTTTCTTTACCTTTTCCATTTCTTTGTTTTTTAGTTTGTCTTATTTCATCTTTCTGTAATGAAACTCCTTTAACTTTGTTTCAACAAGAATGGACCCTGCATTACACGATTCAAATTTGATTGAGTTTTTAATGTGGGCTTCGAACACCAAATGGGAAACTAAAAAAAACAAGCAAGTATGCAACTATGGTAGTTTGACTTTCATGGTCAAACTATATTTTGGCCTGAAGTCACACATATTATATTGAACTATGAAAAAAAGTTGAAACTAATAAAGATCACAAATCCAAGGGAGACAAATGAGCGGGTTAAATGGATTGAATCAACAAAAGAGTTCTCATTTGATTATGTTCAAGGTTTACATGGGCAAAGATAGATCGAGTCAAATCAATTTAAACAATAGATCATATTTCAATTCAGTATTTTTTTTTAATTTCTAATTTACACTCTGTTGACTCTATTTTGAAAAAAATTATAATTTTTTTTATTTTTGTCACTCTTTCTCCTATTCTCGAATACATTATTTTTACGCGATGTATCGGGATATGTGTGTCTTGTCTCAACAAAAAATATATATCAGGATGCGATTTATCGAGATATTGAGTAATATATCTGAAATTCTTAAATTTTAAAGGATTTTTATAATTTGAAAAAGAATAGGAATATGATGTATATATTCATTTTTAGAGGAATTGTCAGTTTTTTTTATCCATATTGTATTAATTTATTAGTTGACCAGAGTTGCAATGTCTCCATATAATTTTTACGGTGCAACTTAAATTGAAAATTTGACTTTAGACTTGTTTTGTGGTATTGCTACGCAGATGGCAAAATTGACGGTAATGAGGGTTGAAAAATGCTAAAAGTGTACTAGCAAGCTACCAAGGGCTATTATTGTCTATTTTGATGATAAATCTTCATAGTTTGGGAAATAAACTTTGTAGTTACATGTATGTGCAATCTATCTCATTAATTGTCATGATTAATAGATGCATTGTACTGATCAAATAAATTACATATTGAAATTATAATAGCCAGTTAAATTTATCATATTTCTTTTTATTTCTAGTTTTTAACACACGTTTTACGGATCTAAGGTTTATTTCTTTGAAATAACGTTCAAATATTTTGGTACTATAGACTTTAAGTATTATTTAAATTCAAGTACATACAGTGGCGGATCCAGGATTTTCAAATTGTGGGTGCTCCCTTGACTACCGTCACAAAATATAAGTAAACAAATTTATAACTTGCCATTAAATGGACAATTAAATTAAACCACACTACAAAAAAACGCCTAAATTGCAGGGGTTAAAATTACATGTTCTGACAGTCAGTAACCCTCACAATTTAGTGTTGTGGCAGTTGAGAGAACTCCTGCAATTAGGTGTGCCACAATTAAGTCCCAGGAGTTTTGGACGAACCCCTGCTACCATTAGCGGGGGCTTATTACTGGGGGTTTTGAACCCACAAATGTATATCTATAAAACTGCACTTCAATATCTAGGAGTCAAAACCCCTGCAATTTGTGAACTTTGGGAGTCAAAATCCCCACAAATCATGAATTTTACATTAAGATTAACTAGAGTTCTAACCCCTGTAATTTATGAACATGTAACCTTCTAGAGCATTATGCTAGAAAAAATCTATTTTAAATATTAATGACTAATTAACATGTACATCATAGTCAAACCTAAAAGGGCTTATTAGTATTAAGAAATAACAAAATATTTCAACAAAAAAATATATCATAAAGTGTACTATTAGTTTTACAAACTAAATTGAAACATACCATTCACTTCAACCATTACGATTACAAGAAACTTCAAATCACTACAAAAACTGTCATTCGCTAATCTTGCTTTTATTGATGAAAAGGGTTCACTAGCATCCATACTCAAGAAATGACCTGCAACTATTCATGGAACTTCAACGATTGTCACTACGACTACTGTCACTAGCATCATCTGTCTACAAAGAAAAATACACAATAAGTAATATGATAAATGCTCTCACCCTTCTTTTGTAACCTCTTTTGAATGCAATAAAATGATTAGGACTGAAACCTAATCCAACCATTATGGTGATTTATAAAAAAAATACTTACATATTGTATGTCAATAACAGTATGTAAACAAATACTAAATTCTCTACTATGAATGTCAATACAAATGCCAATCATAAACAAATAGGTCAATACTAACATACAAGAATATGCAAAAATATGTTCTGGACCTTGCTACTTCTTTATTGCACATAATAGTAAAAGAATCACAAGTTTTTATCTTGTTCTTGCATTAATCCAGACCAAACAACACTCCACAAAGTTCTATAGACAAATACTCATATTTCCACATTCTTTTTTCCTAATTCAGACCAAACAACACTCCACATTCTAAGCTCCAGAAGCAATCCTGGAAAATATGTTCTAGACCATGAGTGCTGCCTTGCCCATAAAACTTTGCCAGAAATAAAGAAGCTAATCTCAATAGATATGTCACTAGAAAACACAGTGGATCCAGAATAAGCACTAGTTAGCTTATCGTCGGTTGTCTCGGAAAAAAATCAAGGCTTCAAGAATAAACACTAGTTAGCTTATCTATTAAATCCAAATATAAAAGTCCAAGAAAAGAATATAGGTATAGTAGTCAGAATATAGAGTTTATACCACTATGATTTGATCAAAGACGCGATCAAATGGCTTGCAAGTCAAATGTTCAAACACTATATCTCTAGTCTTCCATTTGCCAAAACAACATTGAGGACACGGACATTTTATTCTATCTTCTATAGCTCCATTTTTAAATGCAAATTCTAGGAACTGATTCAAGCCAACCAAATATTCTTTTGTGGTCCTTGGCATTCTAATCCAAGATTTATCCATAAAAAAAAACAAGATTAGCAGACAATATCACCTATAAGATTTTCATGAGAAAATTATAAGATTACAGACATATTTAACAATTTTTATGTAACATTATATGCAGAAATGGAAAGAGTACCTCAACTTTCTTTATCCCTGAAGATCTAGAAGCTCTCCCGTTAATTCCAGTTCCAGATAAAGCAAATATTGAAAAGGGGCCAGACCTGATAAATTAAACAAGAACATTCAGTATCTGAGAGCAAATGTCTATTTATCTCTATTTATTACTACTGTAGTTGACTTTAAGCATAAGCATCAGATGAACTTGAGGCCTCAACTATTTCCCTAGAGGCCTAACCACTGAGAAATTATAGTGATCTAAGCAAATGAAAGAGTACCTCAACTTTCTTTATCCTTGAAGATCTAGAAGCTCTCTCGTTAATTTCAGTTCCAAATATTGGAGAGGGATCGGACCTGATAAATTAAACAAAGGAACATTTTCTATAAGATTATACATTTGTTTATATAAAACAATACAGGAACAATGTAGGACACACTTTGGTCCAAAATGGGATGTTTTTCTACAGAGGAAGTCTGTTTATGACCTTTTAGATATGCTTTCTCCTGGCCAGAATTACAGATATGGTAAGGGCCAAAATAATCTGAGACACTGGCTATCCTAGAAGCTATCAAGCATTGTAATAACAAACATTTGGATCATATCATGATCCAACCATATTCAATATATTTACAAAGAATACTTGTGGATAAATGCAAACTACCTTGGAATATAGTCAATTGGATTGAAGAGATACAACAAATAAGCAAAGACATGCAAATTTAGAAGAATGATAAATTAGTGATTTAGAAGAAAAAAATGAAGATACAAATCAATAAGAATATAATGTATGAATACAAGTATACAGAGATAAGTGAAGATTGAGGGCACATGTAACAGCTAAAGAAGAATTAATTAACAAACAAAAAGGGAAACTATATACACCTTACTCCAGCTTAAACAAGGATCGACGGAGACGACAACTCCAAATTTTACGAAGAAACAAGGCACCTGTTAGCGACACCATTTGAGACAAAGTGGTCCCAAAAAATCTGTAGACACAGAATGTCTCGAAGAATCTGTAGAATCACCAAAATTATAACAAAATAAACCTAATTCTACCACAAAATACATGCTCAAATTTGATATTTCAAAATTTTCATCCATGAAGAATACAACAAAATTAACCTAATTCTACCTCCATGCATCTATACAAACAACCAAAAAATAAACTTATCTAGTAAATACAACCAGTAATTTGTACAATTTGTGAAGATTCAGATGAGAAAATCCAAAAATGTGAGGTAGGTTCATTATTCAAAGAGGTGAGAAGTGGAAAACATTACCTTAGAACACCTATCCCATTTTGAATCTGGTGAGTAGCTGAAGTTTACAGAGTTGTGAGGAGACGTGCCGCTGTAGACGGCAGAGAAGTGCCGCTGTAGAGAAGTGTGGCGGTGAGAGAAGTGTGACAGTGAGAGAGTAATTTGGAAGGAGTGAAGTTTCAAAAGTTGTGTTTATTTTGTATTTTGTTATTAAATTAAAAATAGCTATTTATTAAATTACGTATTTCCAAAAGCTATGAGTGTTTTTTATTTCATGAATTAAAAATATATATTTTATATTTTGAAATAAAAATTGTATTATGAGATAGCAGGTGTTTAAACCCCCGGTATTTACTTAAATTTTTTTCTGGGGATTTTAAATCCCTGATGTTTACTTTTATTTTGCGTCAGCTACCAAACCCTCGTTATTTAATGTAGTTTGTGGGGGTTGCAGCTAACCTCCACTTTGAAACCCCCACGATTTAGGTGTTTTTTTGTAGTGCCACAATAGCAAAAAATATTAATATGATAAAACTACAATAAATATTATTTTTTATAACGTTTTTTTTAATAAAAAAAAATAGCAAAAGGGAAACAGAGAAAGAGTAAAAAGAACAATCAACACAAGGTGTGAAAAATAAAAGTTCTAAATGAAATAAATAAGAATAGAAGAGTTGGTCTTCAAAATACTTTTAAAAAAATGCTTAGAGTGGGAATCGAACCCAAACGCGGATGCAATACACATCCTTAAAAACCCAGAAATAACCATTGAATCAAACGACTACCTGTGTAGTCGGTGCTCACATTCTTTCAATTTTTTATATAAATATACATAGTTTGATACGAAATTAATGGGTGCTCGCGCACCCGAAATGTCCAATGTGGGTCCGCCCCTGAGTACATATGATGGTATTTGATCAAAGTTTGTTTTCAATTAATTTGTGTTGTTGCTGGAATGAACTAAAAAGATAAAACATAGTCAGTCTAAAGCATCTATCCAAGCACTTTTTTATAATGCGAAGAATATTTAATAAGTTATGGATTGTTTTCTGATGAGGTTAATTAGTATAAATTTTTTTGAAAAAAATGAGTAAAGAGTTACTGTTGATGATTGTCTCAAATTGCTTCAATGATGTTGACAGAGAACGAGGTGAAAATAGTGAGGACAAAGAAAGCAATAAAAGTATCTTTTTTTATTTTTTGTATGCCAAATAAGAATCCTAAATAAAGTCTTAAAATTAATTTAGATTCCAAATTATCATATAATATTTTTTTATTTAAATATTAATAATATATGAAATATATATTTTAAAAATGAATATTTCTAAAAGGAGTTGACGGTGTAATTTTCTTGACAATTATGGGCCCATAACTGTCCATAGCGGGCTTAGCTTCTTAAACTGGAATACTGGACGGTGTATTGGGCCTAGATCAAGCTAAAAGGGTTGGAGTAGTGTTTTAGAAGGCTGGGGTGTGAGGCGAGATGTTTTATATAGTTTGGAGCGAGACGTAAGCTTCGAGACATGAGACATAAGTTTTATGAATCTACGGACGTGGTCTCGTGTATATTCTTTTTTATAATTTTATTACTAAGAAAACAAGCAAAAGTTTAAACTTTCAATTACTATAAATAAATTTAAATTAATAACCTATAAGGCTATAATATATAGAAAAAAAATATTATGATTTTTATTTGAGAAATGTATTAATAACCAATAATGAAGAAAAAAGTACTATTACAATTACTATTTGAGAAATATCATTACACAAATAAAAAAATATGATTTCAATAAAAAAAAAAAGTTCAAAAATAATAATAATTTTTAAAAAAAGGCCCGAGGTGTACGATTTTTACGCCCAAGGTTTATGTTTTACGCTAGGAGCTTACACCCCAAATTCTAGGACTCACGTCTCATGCCCTATGAATGTACGTTTTTAATTTGCACCCCAGAGCGTTTTAGTATGCCCCACCTCAAAACTTCCTCAGGACTCGCCCAAAAAAACGTTTTTGAAAACGTTATACAATTTTTGCCACTTAAAAATAAGAAAAATGTCTGACTTCGTTTGAAAAGACAAAAAGCTGACAATTTATAAAATTAAGATTGGCGAAAATATCCCCTAATAAAAACTCAAAATAAACATTTCTCGCTCAATTTTATATGTTGGAATCGAAATTTAAGATGCAACAAAAACATCAACCTAGCTAGAAACTAAAATGGAAGCCAAAAGGCCACTTTTTACATCAGGCATTCAATTAGTTAGTTTAATAAGTAAAACTAATTGAATTTACAAATAATAATCTTTCCCACTTTATTGTGTTACTAGTACTTTGTTTAGTTCGCTTTTCTAATTTATGCATAACTAATGCTTGTATTAGTTATTGTATATTGAAGAGTAAATTACTAATATCATGGGTTTCTATGCATTAGTATTGCAATGAATTCTAATGCATGCATTAGCAATGTTAAAGATACAATTGTCCCTCAAATTTTTTTCACATCCATTCCAATATTTTTTTTTAAAAAAAACATTTCTTTAAAAAATTATGCAATGCTTAATATTTTTAGTACACCAAACCAAACATTGCATAAGAAAAATCTCAGCATAACTAATGCAAGTATAACAATACAAGTATTACTAATACATTATATTTTGCATTATTCTTAGATACTCTACCACAGGGACGGATCTACGTGGGCAGTAGGGGTCCATCCAAATCCCCTCGTCGAAAAAATTACATTGTATTTATAAGGTCAAATTCGATATGTATGGTTATATACAAAGAAATGAACCCCCTCAGTACAATTGAGAAGCTTAATTTAGTGGTCTACGGGTTCAAAGTTATGTCTTCGATCGTGATAGCTTCTAACGCTCGATAGTTTCTTTTATTTTTTCCATAAATAATATTTGCATAAATTATATGTAAAATTCTATATATTATAAATATGGAATAAGAATAGGTACTACTGTAAATATGTTAAAAGCTAAAATAAAAAAATCAATAGCGTGATTGATTAAACTTCTAAAATTTGTTATTATGAATTTTTTTTATTAAAGTACTTTTTGTATATTAATAATTTGTGTTTGATTAATTAATTTGATTTTTTTTATTAATATTAGAGTTTTGTCGGTGCTTGAGCTTGACCAAGATTCCAAAATTATTTTTGAAGAAAAATATTATTTTAAAGATAACATATGATTGAAAGGATATTAATTCGAAAGAAAAAATTGAACACTGCAAAGAGGAAGGGGAAGGCAAAAAAAGCACAATAAATTTTAGAAAGGACTCGAAATAGTAATAAATGTTAAACGGGACATGACAATGTGAGTTAAAATTAAGTGGATTAAAATGAGTATTGCCATTCACCGCCCCACGTTTTTAGTTATCTCATAATTTTTGTGCTTTTACTTCATATATATGTTTCAAACTCCCGAATGAAAATCCTAAATCCGCTATTACTCTGCCAAACGGTCAAAGTTTTGTGTAATTTGTAATACAACAAGGGTGACTAAACGCAATAATACATTCCTAGTGGACCCAATTACAAAATATATTAGCTTAAAACTTACAAAAGTTAAAAACAAACATAAAGAATTTATTTATTTATTTTTTTAAAAAACATTAGTTTATTATGTTTCTAACACACACACAAAAATTTGAAATTCAAAAATAGAATATAAAAAAAAAGACTGGCGTTAAGTTTAAGCGAATTCCCCAATTTATAAACCCTACTTCCGTTTCGCTTTTCATTCCTCACACACACAAAAAAGCTCTGCCGCTCTCTCTCTTGAAGGAATTTTCTTCTCATACTTTCGACAATGGTGAGTAAATCTCGTTTATTTTTCATATAATTAGTTGATTTTTTTTCGAGAATTGGAATGATAATTAGATGATTATTGAGATGTTTATACGATTCGCTGGATTTATTTTTTTGTATTAACTTTGATTTGGATGAGTATTTGAGGATTTAGATGAGTTTATTCTTCTCGGCTGGTAGATTATCATAATTGGAATGGGAAGTGTTGTTATGTACAGGAGAACTTTTATAGCTGCAAATTGTGTATCAGTATTGGGATGATGAGATTGAGGTGTTTATAGGCTTTGTTTGGTCAAGTTGTTCCTTTTCTTTGTTTTAGAAGTTGGTTTTAGCTTTGGTTGGATGAGTTTTTGAAGATGTAGTGAGTTATTTTTTGTTGTATTTGGAATGATAACTGATCTAAGGTGTCTAATCGACCCTGAATAGTTTGAGATAGATGTGTGTATAAGCTTTGGATGCGTATCTGGGTGTTGGATTTGTATCCATATGGATTGAGGTATGGATACGTGTGGTGGGATTTGGCTTAAAACATTTGAAATTATAAAATAGGGCTGTTAAAATATTCTTTCTTTTGAGAGATAGCCTGTGGAGAACTTAGATGGTATATACTAGAGTTAAATGATTCATTCTCTAAGATGGGAGTTCACAAACATAAATTGATTGTTGAAAATCTACATACGAATAATTAATTTAGAAATTATTCATTCTTTCTATAAGAAAGAATTTTTTTATAAATAGCAAATATGACCAAGACGTAAAGCTTTAAAGATGTATGTACGCCATCTTCTGTGTCTTCAATCTGTTTTATCTTCTTTTTTGAGACATCAAAATCCCCCACAGGTTTCAGTTTGAGGTGCTTATACACTTTGTTGATTTTTTTGTTGTCCAATTGCTCCTTTTTGTTCTTCTAGGAAGTTGATTTTTAACTTTGATTGTGATGTGTTTATGAAGTTTGATATGTGACCAGTGTTGAATTGTAACTGTTTTGGCTGATTTCTTGTGTTGATGTTTGTGAATTTATTATTACAGGCTTTACCAAACCAACAAACTGTAGATTATCCAAGCTTCAAGCTTGTTATTGTGGGGGATGGAGGAACTGGTATGTTTCTATGTTTATCTGAGATTTGTTTCTAGTATCGTTTGTTTCGAAGAGAATATCAGTAACAATATTTTGATGTCAAACAGATATTTTGTTTTGATTTCTTCAAACATTTGAAAAACATTACTGACTTGTGTGAAATTTTGATTCAGAATAGTTTTTAAATATGGAAGTTATTTCAATATAGTTAATTGATAATGTATGAGTATACACTGAATTTATGGGATAAATGCTATTTATCGTAGATAATCTGATCTTTGTAA